CTAATAATAATCCTAAGCAACTCTGGGGAGCAATGAACAACATAACAAACAGAGCGAAAAAGAAAGAGAATTCATCCCATCACTTATTAACTCTATCATCTTCTCCGGAGCTATCTGTTAATTTAGTTAATGATTTTTTCGCTAACGTAGGTAAAAATCTTGCGGAAAAGATATTGGGTGGACTGACAGAGTCAACAAAAAAAGCTTTTAACAACAACTCGCAGTCCATGGTATTGTTACCAACGTGATGAGGACGAGGTTGCAAGGTTAATAATATCTCTCCGTAACGACTGTGCTGTGGGTTGGGATGGAATATCCTCTTATCTCCTTAAAATGCATATTAACTGAAATATTGTCCCACCCCTGACATATATCTGCAATCTTGCTCTCACAACCGGAAAATTCCCCAAAGCTTTTAAGAAGTCGATTATACACCCGATTTATAAAGGTGGGGACAGAGATCGTGCCGATAACTATAGACCTATAGCCGTGCTCTCTGCCTTGTCCAAAATATTTGAACGCATAATGAACAACAGGCTCGTAAACTATTTGGAAAAAAATAACTTACTATCGCCCTCACAATATGGTTTTAGGTCAGGCAAATCTACGTCAGATGCGATTCATGACCTTAGAAATTATATTGTTACAAACTTGGACAATGGGCAGAAGTTCTCGGCATTTTTCTAGATCTTTCCAAAGCTTTCGACACAGTTTCTGTACCCATACTTTTACGTAAGATGGAGAGTATGGGAATTAGAGGTACTCAACTGCGACTTTTTGAAGACTACTTGAGTGGACGTACTCAACGCGTTCAGGTCGATAAGTTCGTCAGTGCCGAATGCACAACTACCTATGGAACGCCCCAGGACAGCGTACTTTCTCCAACCTTATTTCTTATATATATATATATATATATATATATATATATATATATATATATATATATATATATATATATATATATATATATATATATATATATATATATATATATATATATTAACGAACTGGGTATGCCCACACTCCCTAAAGGGCGAATCATAAGTTTTGCAGATGATACTGTCCTCCTTTTTAGTGCAAGTACATGGCAAGAAGTCTATGCGTACGCCCAGTTGGGCTACAACACTGTCTCAAATTGGCTTCGAAGTAACGTTCTGACACTGAACATAGATAAAATATGTTATGTCCCGTTTAGATTAAAAAACAAAACATTAACCACATCATCTCTACCACATACCATCGTAAGTCACTCGTGTTCCAATCCACTCAATAATGCAGACACCTGCACACAACTACGTGAAGCTGACAGAGTAAAATATCTAGGAGTTATTATCGATAACACTCTACGTTTTCATGAACACATTAATACACTCAATAGCAGGTACATTAATACACTTGATAGCAGGTTGCGTAAATTAATATATGTATTTAAAACTCTGAGAGATGTGGCGGATGATAAACTGAAGAAATCCGTATATTTTGCCTTGGCCAAATCTCTATTAACATATGGTATTACCTCCTGGGGCGGTGCTCCAAAATCAAAAATGCTCCAATTGGAGAGAACGCAGAGAGCCATCTTAAAGGTCTCTTTTTCGCTGCCGTATCACTATCCTACAGAGCTCCTATATAAAGAGTTGAAAATATTAACTGTGCGGCAACTGTTCATACAAAGAACCTTACTGAAACAACATTCTCTATTAAAATACAATCCCTCACTCTCCCGAGGGAAAAGGCGTTTGAACCCGTGGACCGCACTCATATAACTCTATCCACCAAACTATCTAAACGTTTCTTTTGTCTCCTCGGAGGTTTTCTATACAATAAAATCAATAAAATACCCTATATTTAACGTCATAAGACTACATGCAAAAATAAAATAACACTGGCTACAAGAATTAAATTATATCACTGAAAAGCTACTCACTAATCCTAACTAATTACTATCCGTACTAAAGTTAAATACTAACCCAATCCTAAATTTAATTTCTATTCCAGTTACTAACTAACAAATAAAAGCACGCACACACACTCACACGCACACAAACAAACTCTATCTCACACACACACACGCGCACGCGCACGCACACGCACACGTACGCGCACGCACACGCATGCACACGCACGCGCACGCACACGCACGCACACGCACGCACGCACACGCACACGCACGCACACGCACGCACGCACACGCACGCGCACGCACGCACGCACACGCGCACGCGCACGCATACGCACTCGCACGAGCACGCACACGCACGCGTACGCACGCACACGGACGCACACGCACACACATACACACACATACACACACACACACACACACACACACACACACACACACACACACACACACACACACACACACACACAGACTAATACTAGCACCAGATTTCAATAAATATTAAATACTAGTTAAGTAAAAGAAGGTACATTATGTAAATTACAAATATGGTACATGTACATGGTAAAAGTTTGTAATTACAACCATAGGGCGGAGACCTGGTGGCCTGAAATACAGGCGTAAAGCCTAGCTTAGGCACCAGTCTCCCACAGTATAACATTAAGGTGTAATATTCTAATAATATGTACAATAATTCTGTAATATTGTGGTGAGAAAATAAATCATTTATTATTATTATGTACATGAAACCAGTGAAAATAAAATTTGAGTCAACTTTTACATAGTTGAATATCATTGATGTTAATCAATAATTACTACTTCTGTATTTGATCAGCTGGAGCTGATTAATGCTGTATAATTTATAATAATTTTTTTATTATTTAACACATGAAACATATAAAAAGGCAGATATAAAAAAATGCTCACAGAAATATGTAAATACAGCTTATTGACATTGAAGGCATAGTCTTATGTCATATTTCTTATTATTAAAAATGTCCTCTAAATTCCTATATAATATAGAAAAAATAATATATTGATAAGAATTATTATTTAGTTAAGACACCTTTACAATTGTCATTAATTTTTATGTATGCCTTGCAGGCTGAAAGCTTGCAGAGACAAAAAGTGTATGGATATTGAAGGCAACAGTCTTATATCATATCTCTTATTATTGAAAATGCCTTCTGATTGCTTAGAATATCATAAACGTACATGTTGTATCAAGTTATTTTCAAAAAACCTTCAGAAATATATCTAACACTAAAATGTATCTACCTATGTCCATTATAGACAAAACATAAGAAACGATCCAACCAATTTCAATGAAAATGTTTGTGTGTGTTTGGATGGATCCCTAGATAGTTTATATTTACATTTGGACCCGGTAGATGTCACTGTTGTCGAGATCCATAAGTCACCAGTGCTGCGGCTGAGCCGCATCGCTGGTAATAAATACATTCAAATTATGCCTGTGTTTTTGTGATCCTCACACAAACAGTTTAAAACATCTTACTTCCTCACTATTTATCATTGTGTAATAACATAGATAAGCATGTTAATTCCCAGTAATTTTATTATGATGTATACTACTAACTAATCAACCAAAACATATTAACACAAAGTCTTGGCACCGCTCCTGTCTATATATGCCAGTCAATCATCAAAGGTTTAAAAGGTTTCTGTTTCTGTACCTACTACTGTTAATAGAATGCTTAAATAAATTATGATTTACAATAATAAATAGACGAACCTACATTATATTTTGTTTTTTGTAATACAACCAGTTTAAAACATATTTCTTACTGTGTGTTGGTAATATCATAAATATAAATAGACATTATCCCTTAGCCATCTTGGTATTTGGAATTACACTCACAATCAATCAATACATATCAGAAATAGAATCCATACGACATTTGTGCATAGACAAGCACTATGTTTTGCCGGAACTAGTAAAAGGTTTTACATCGATTTTAAAATATTTATAAATGTTGAATATACCTACAGCTTAGTTTTATATATACTATTATTCAAGTGTGCACTATTTTAACTTATAATACCGATGAATACTACTAGAAAATCGCTTTCAGTTTGTTTTTAGGTTATTGTTACATTCACATTTTATTTGTTAATTTCTCAGGACTCCGTTTAGATGCAGTTAAACTAATAATATTATTGTAATCTATGGATTATAAGGAATAAATCGACATGTATTTCACTGAGAATCTTTAAAATTTGTAGTGGGCTCATTCTCCATAGAAAAATTGATTGTCTCCTTTAGTAGGCATCTTTGTCAATGTCCTTTCGCACGGTCACAGGCTCAAACGCAAAGTCGCCTGTGCCTTTAACTCTCTCACTCAATAACTCATTTCATTTACCTGTAGTTAGCCAAGGCGTGACGTCACTTTGCTGTCGTATTTTTTTATGGTTCCGCGTGTGTATCGAAAACTTTCAATATTCTAAAGTTGAGTGTGTAACATAGACGATCCAATATATAGGTGTATAGTTTACGGTTGCCTAAATACTAATAAAAAAAATAATGTTTGGTAACGTAAGATGCGGTTAGCGGCTTCTAAAAATGTTGGTTGCAACGATGTGTCGGCCGCTCGCCTCCCACTCGCCGCCTGGCGCCTACATAAGGAAACATGTGCATCCGTTTCGCTCGCTATTACAACTTTTATTCACTAGCGATTGTATCATATTTTAGTTTTACGTTAATGCCGTAGGATGAATTGTTTTTATGTATTTGTTAGGATATCGAGAAATTTTGCCTATCTAGTTATATTTTGTTATATTTTACAAACACCTTCGAGGATAGCTTTTATTCCATTCACACAAAACACTATATTATTTTCCAGACGGTAAAAATAGTCATCTAGTATATTAGTGAATAACCTATGATGATCTGTGTGATCTAAAAGACGCTTACCGCTTCGTTTTTGCCGAATCGTAGTTCGCCCAAATCTTCACGACACAACTTAGTCTTATAACAACTTTTACTTCAGTGTAAGGGACACATTTTAGGAGTACTTTAGTGGCGCCATTTTAACGCGTGCACCGGCCAGTCTTCACACCGTAAAATTCAATATGTATATAGGGTGATATTGGCTGCGAGCCAGCTGGCGGGGGGCAGGGAGGCACGGGGTGCGCGGGCGCGGCGGCTGCGCGGCGTGGCGCAGTGCGTGCGTGCGAGCTCCGCGCCCGCGCTCGCAGCGCACGTGCGCGCGCACACCGCCTTCCTGCTGCGAACGCTCGCCGAACTCGGTGAGTCACTAATCACTACACTACACTAACAGTGAGTGTGCGCGAGCGCCGCGCCCGCGCTCGCAGCACACGTGAGCGCGCACATCGCCTTCCTGCTGCGAACGCTCGCCGAACTTGGTCAGTCGCTAGTCACTACACTACACTAAAAGTGCGCGCGCGCGAGCGCCGCGCTCGCAGCGCACGTGCGCGCGCATACCGCCTTCCTGCTGTGAACGCTCGCCGAACTCGGTCAGTCACTACTGACTACACTAACATTTTATTAAACAGAACATTGCTTAATAACAATTACTGTACTACTAAATAGTACATGATTGATAATAACCCCTGGGAATGAAGTGATCGCTACCATACTGTTTCTAAATGTTTTCATACTTTAAATCGTAGATGTATCATTAACAATTTAAAATATGAAACTAAGTATTTATCGATAGGATCAGGCGTTACTTTGCGGAAATCCACTATAATAAAAATATAAATTACTTCGCAACCTTCCGCTGGCTAAATACAATGGTGTATCTTACCTGGATTGAAGAGCACCTCCCGCCCTCTTTCAATTGCATGCACTAACTCCGTCACCACTAGTCCCAGCACCACTACTCCCAACACCACTACTCCCGGCACCACTACTTCCAACACCACTATTCCAGTTAAGACACTTAGCGGTCAGCCGCCGTAGAGTCTACATCACCTGAGGATGCCTCGTGTAGAGGCGAAACACGTGTGGTATTATCGTCGATGGTGGGTCTTTCCTGGAATAGTGGTGTTGGAGGTAGTGGTGCCGGGAGTAGTGGTGTTGGGAGTAGTGGTGCTGTGATTAGTGGTGACGGAGTTAGTGCATGCAATTGAGGGAGGGCGGGAGGTGCTCTTTAATCAAGGTAAGACACACCATTATATTTAGCTAGCGAAGGTTGCGCAGTAATTTATATTTTTATCATAAATTTACAATTTAACTGAACTAGCTAGCATATGCTGCTAGTCATTATCCGTTTCATTTTACTCTATTCTCACCACTTACGACTCGTATGTGACGGCATAGATAATATATAAATTACAACACATACAAAAAATAACACGTCAGGGAAAAAGTTACATGATGAAGAACCATTGGAACCACCATCTTTTCTGTTGATCAATTCTCGATTTCTTGCTTGAGTCTCGTTAGTTGTTAGCAATAGAGATCCAAATCGATGGTTTTACCCGGCGGTAAAAGCTCATAATAAACGATGTTCTTCCAATCCCACCATACATACAGCATCACTTTATTGCGTGTTAATCCGGGTTTCACTGCAGTCTATGTAGCTTGACTCCCATTTGATCTTTTTCACACGTTCTTGTCGCAGGTGATCTAATTTTCATCACCAGTGACCAATATTTTCAAATATGATTCGGTTTCATTACGTTTCAATAGAGAATCGCAAATAAGCACACGATTCATTAGGTTTCTTTCAGTGAGCTCGTGTGGTGCCCAAATATCGGGCATTTTTTATAGCCAGACTTTATCGCAGTAGGCCTCTTGCTCGATATGAGTAAAGCTTATGACAGAGTCTGTTATAGAACTCTATTGGATAAACTGTATCGAACAGGAATTAGAGGAATAGCTCATAATTGGTTCAAATCCTATCTTGATAACCACTTCCAATATGTAGAAATTGAAAATACCGACTTCGAGACAGGCAAAATTACTCATGTTACATCGGATGTAACCCTCATTACTGGCTCTATCCCTCAAGGTAGCGTTTTGGGTTGTATTTTGTTTCTCATTTACATAAATGATCTCCCAAACAGACTGGACGATTTATGTGTGCTCTTTGCCGATGACATCTCATTCTTAATCTCTTGTCTTAACCTTAATAAAACTAAAATTATTCAATTTAAACCCTACCAAAAAACTGGTTTACAAATATCGTATAACTATAAAAATAAAAACTAGAAACTGTTAACTCTGGCACTTTGTTAGGAATAGACCTGGACACACATTTGAGTTGGAAACAGCACATACAAAAAGTTGCAAAAAAATCCTCATTTATTTATGCTCTACAACACCTTAAACGTGTGACAGATTTTAAGACTGCCCTTGCGGCTTACTATGCAAGTACTAAGTGTCTACGAATATTAATAAATTTGGACAAAATGGAATAATGTAAACCCCACTTCATTAAAAATAAAATTTTAACACTTTCGTCTATCTACATCCTCGAATCTTGTAAATTCGTTAGGAAACACCCGAAACTCTACTCACCTATTAAAAAAACTAAAAGAAATAATAGAAATTTACATAAGCTTGAGATACCCTTCTCCAAATTAAAATTAGTTTCAAACAGCCCTCACGTTATATCAATAAAGATTTATAACCATTTACCGAATTCCATAGAAGTCCTGGAAAATCCTGTGCAATTTAATAAACAATTAAAAATATTTCTTATCAATAAATGTTATTATAATTTAAATGAATTTTTGACGATAAATAACGACAAAGTAAGAATACTTAAACTAGGTACATTGTATTCCAAATTAAATTAATTTATATAAAATAATATTGAATGTTGATGATATGATAATTTGTAATTTATGTTTAAAAATAAAATAGAACGAAAATAGTTAGCCCTCTAGTGTTGCTATGCCCTTGCGGGGCGTCACATGTATACCTATCAAAATTGTACCATCTTAAATTTGTAATGTGACATGCAATAAACAATTTGAATTTGAATTATCGTATGGGTCAAAACTGTTATGTTGTCAATCAAGATTATATTAAAGGTTAAATTTAGCGCTAAACTATTTTAAGTTAAGATATTATAATATAACTTCAACATCTTTAAAATAACTTAATTCGATTTTTATTTCGTTTAAATTAGCCTTAGTATAAACTTTCTAAAATTTATTATTAAAATTCACTCACACATTAATTTTTAGCACCTCAAATAGAAAACTCGGAGGGCGAGATGGAAGAATTACTTAGCAGAGCGATCGTCATCATGTGTATAGAACCGGCAGCTGAGAAGGCCTTGCCCGTTCGTATATTTATTTCAATATATTTTTTTAAACATTTATACACATAATAGTACTGGCAGATTTAATGCCATCAAGGAATTTTTTACAATTTGTGTGTAGCGACCATTGTCTCTTTCTTTTTTCTACGACAATAATTTCAGTATGTTTATTTTTACACTATATTTTTTTTATAGGAAAAGGGTGACAAGCGAGCACACAGTCCACCTGATGGTAAGTGGTTGCTGTGGCCCATAGGCATCTACATCTATCCTCGTTTGCGAATTAAAATGAGCCTTAAGGACTAAGATGGAATGCCTCTTCCGGTAAAAAGGGTCTCCGGTTCTCTACACTCACCATACAAAACACAGCAGCATTAAGCTGCTATTTGACGCTGGTATTCTGTGAGAGGGTGTTCCTTCCCCGGTCGAGCCGACCTATTCGTGCTACAACTATACATTTAATATAGCTACAGCATGGCTCTACCAAGTAAGATATACCACGTATATACAGCTATATGTACCATGGACTGCTTATATTTCGACATGGTAAAGCCATGCTGCAGCTGTGTTATGGCACAGCACAGCACGAATGGGTGGTCTCGACCGGAGAAGGAACACGCTTTCATAAAATTCTAGCGGGAAATAGCATTCGTATGCTGAATGTAGAGACCCGGACACCTTTTATTCTGGAAAGATGTTTTCCATCTTTTCTCTTTCATCTTTCAGCTTTTGATTCTCAAGCGAGGATAGATATGTCTATGAGCAATTGGAGCCGTGGTAACTCAAATGGTTAGTGCTCGCTGTAAATTTCACAGTATGCGAGCAAACCGGGTTCGATCTCCGCCGACACCTGTGAAATGACTAATTGCAATTTTAAGTGCTGATTACCACGTGCTCGGCGGTGAAGGAAAACATTGTGCGGAAACCTGCATGTCTGAGAAATAAGAAAAAACTATTTCGAAGACATGTGAAGTTTGCCAACACGCATTGGGGCAGCGCGGCGGTAATTTCCTTTCCCTAAAACCCTCTAAGAAATGAGCGGGAGGCCTGTGTAAGAGTGGGACTCTTTATATCTTTATACTGTTATATTATGGGGAGTGCTCTGGGGCGAATTGTTGGGATTTGCGCGGCAAACGTCACGATACCATCCACACCATCTGCATGCTTGGCGGTCCACCACTGTACGTTTCAAAAGGAGTTTTCTTCCGCGTACGACCGATACGACCTGGGGACCTTCAAGAAAAGAGCTTACTACTTTCTAAAGGGCCGGCAACGCACCACCTGCAGTTCCCCTGGTGTTGCGGTTGATCATGGGCGGCGGTAGTCACTTAACATCAGGTGAGCCGCATGCTCGTTTGCCCCCCTTCTATAAAAAAACTTTACTTTTTAACTTTATGGGCCACAATATCCATGTACCATCAAGTGGACTGTGTGCTCATTAGTCATAAAAAAACATCGATGACTATCGCTGTTGATTATAAAGCCTACAAATATTTTTGAATCGGTCTGGATATTTATTTATGACACTCGACTCCATGGTACAGGAGAAAATCAAAAATATAGAACAGACGATAGATCCGCGACATGATTGCAGGTGTGGGAGCAGTGGATCCAGCAGAGCACTCCTCGGCTGCGGCTGGCGTGTGCCTCGGCGGTGGCTTCACTCACGGCACTCGACTACTTCTGTGCGCTCGCTGACTGCGTTGCGCGTGCGCACATAGCACAGCCAGGTATACCTCGCGCATTCTAACTTGGCCGGGCTGAAGTTAGTCGCACGAGGCTGCACAGATATAATTTTTAGGAACAAAATGGTAACAAGAGGCGTTCTAGCTAAAACTAGAGATGCGAACACGCATATTGCGCGGTTACAATTACCACAGATTAAAAAATGTTACGTAGAATCGATTACCGTTATTATCGATAAAATTCAATTTTATTTTAAATTTGATTGAAGTGAAAACTTTTAATCTCTTTATTTGAAACTTGATGAAACGAGAAAGCGGCACTAATAAGAAACAAATATATATATATGTATATATATATATATATATATATATATATATATATATATATACATAGAGGATTTAACAGTTAAAATTTATTAAATAAATAAGATTAACAATATTGAATAAAATTATCTTAAACTATCGATAAATGCGCACACGCGCGCACACACGCGCACTCACGAACACGCACGCACACGCACGTACATACACACACACACACACACACGTACGTAAATACAAAATTAATACATACGTATGAATACGACTGTTTAACAATATTGTAATTATATTATTTTAACTGTCCCTTTGGTCTAGTGATTGTAGTAGTGCGACTGATCATGAGGTCCTGGGTTCGAATCTCGGGTTGGGCCACAAAATAAATTATTGAGTTTTTCGCCCAAAAATTCTCAGTAGCACTATAATTCTGACCTGTGCTGGCTAGTGTCCGTTGAGGCAGGGCGCCGTGATCTAAATTCGTTCTGAAGGACATTATTATATTATTTTGGGGTTACTGAAAGAATTTGTTACCCATGCTAATATCGTGTATTTATTATATATTCAAAATGTTTATCGTAATTCTTTATTAGATTTAGTTATACTATTGTTTTATTAAAATATATAAAGATATTTCCATTATAATTATCATTTTTAATAATCGATATAATCGATGTAAACAAGGCAAACTGCTTCCGATATTAGGAGCGAATATGAAGTGGCACATCTCTAGAGCATTACATGCAACCAAGATGGAGTGCGCGGACAATACCTAGCGTTACTTTACTTCTTGTATATTCTTTTCTTCTTCATTATAAGCATCTTCGTTTGTATGAGGGATTTACTTTGCAATGTTTGTTAGGTCAATTGATAATCGCAGTGCATTCTGAAGTTAGTCAAAAAACCTTCGAGTTCTAATAAAATATAGCGTAGATCACTTCTGATATTGCTCTCTATCTGTTCGTGAAGTTTCATTACAATCAGTACAGTTATTCCAAAGACTAGTAATACAGATAGACAACATTTTTAAACATGGTTCTTTGTCTTAATAACATGCAAACTACACAATAAAAGCTCAACTTCTCAACTCAATAAAAGAAGGTCAACTTCTCAGCTCCATAAAAGAAACCCAATTTCTCAGCTCAACAAAAGAAGTTCAACTTCTCAGCTCCATAAAATAAACCCATCTTCTCAGCTTAATAAAAGAAGTTCAACTTCTCAGTTAAATAAAAGATAGTTAATTCGATATTACCGACAGTCACTTTAATTTTATTCACATGCATAGATTTATTTACATTTACTGCGACGGTATTTCACCAATGCTTAGTATAGGTAGAACTAAACAGAAATAAATTAACCGTGTTGTGGTGCTATAAAAGAATTTATACAATGATGTGTCTTACCTGGATTGAAGAGCACCTCCCGCCCCCCCCCCTCAATTACATGCACTAATCCCGTCACCACTAGTCCCAGCACCACTACTCCCAGCACCACTACTCCCGGCACCACTACTCCCAACACCACTATTCCGGGAAAGACACACCATCGACGATAAAACGACACGTGTTTCGCCTCTACACGAGGCATCTTGGGGATGCCTCGTGTAGAGGCATCTTGGGGATACCTTGTGTAGAGGCGAATCATTTTCTTTGGTATTGGATTTGTACTTTTGTGTTTTTGTCAATGTCAAGGAATAAGAAATAATTTGTTTGGAACTTTTTCATGATACAGCTTGAGCCAACAAATATTAGATGGCAACAGAATCTTAAAACGTCTGAGCAGGTATATTGTTTGAGGCTCACATGAGTTTTTTACGTGGTAGACCTATGCTGCAGCTATATTACTGGTATAGTTGTAACACAAAATGTGTCGGCACGACCGGGGAAGGATCAGGCTCTCGCAGAATACCAGCGTCAAATAGTTGTTTAACGCTGGTGTGTTTCGTTTGGTGACTGTAGATAATCGGAGAGTTTTTTTTTTACTGAAAACGAGGCATTCCATCTTAGTCCTCATGAGTGACAACGCATCTGCATTTTGATTCATTATCGAGAATATATATAGATGTTTATGGGTCACAGCACTCGCCATCAGGTGTACTGTGCTCGTTTGCCACCCTTATACTATAAAAAAACATCACTATCGGATCACTTGTTTTATCGTTTCCATTAATAAATCACATGTGCAGACATTTAATACAAAAAATCTGTTACATATCAAAGCCCACTTCAAACTATTATTTATACTTTAAATAAGAGCGGGTATCCGCCTAGCTTACGTCAAAGCTCGTCAAGTTGGTGGTGGTGATAATTGCGGGTGTACTATAGAGACTGAGGGGTGGGGGGCGCTGCGTGCGCGCTGGCGCGCATGTGCGTGGGACAGTGACGTGGCCAGCGGAGCAGCGGCCGCGCGCCGCCGCGCGCACGCCGCCTACGCGCTGCTCGCGCACGCGCACGCACCCGTGCTGCGCGCACTCGCCGACACGCTCCTCACCAGGTGAGCCGTGAACCCGTGCCACTACATCTACCAGACCCATGTTGCAGCTATACTGAGCTTGCTCCACACTTGCATCATTTTAGTGTATCAGATCTCCGACGCGTGGCATTGACGTTCATACGCGATCGTGTTTTACGCCGAAGTTTGATACACCTACGCAGTTATATATACATCCGTATATATAACCGCGTATCTGATATATGTCTTACGGGATACGTGTATCATGATCGACAGAATAATCGTAGTATGTATATCTACACATCTTAATGTAATGATTACTATTCATCACAAACTGAGTTAGTTAATAGGAAATAAATTTTCGTTAATATTGTTACGAGCTTGGGGTTCGTGACAATAAAAACTGCCGATTGAATTACCAAAATTGCCACTTTAATTACTGAATACCATTTAAAACTAAAAAAATTAAAAATTAACTACACTTTACACTTTAGTTCACTTTATTTCGCTCCGAAGTCGTCGCTCGTATCGCCAATTCGTATTGTTCTCTCCTAGTTCTGCTACTCCATAATAGATGGCGCTAGTGAATTTTCAAGAAAGATCTTGGCGCTCCTATTTCTGCTACTCGATACTAGATGGCTCTAGTGCCATATACCAGGCGTCAACAATGGCGCGCAACAGTATATTTAATTTGTGTAGTAAATTATTTTTATTAAAAAATAGCTTTTTTGTCACTTCATGAACTATGATGACAACACTTGGTATTTTACGAATATATTCAGAAAATACGGGTAAATATTATGTTAAAAATATTCACAGATGAAAAGTCACGTTGTCCTTTTGTAGTTTTGACGTTTTTGAGTGTTTTTTGCATGAAAATACATTGGATATCGGCATTTTTGTCGGAGCTCGATCGACGGCACGATCACTTGTGGAATGGCGCACGACTTTTTTTTGCGCCCAGAAGCAAAGAAGAGTTACCCTCCGGAAAGCGTACTAAATGCTCAAAGCAGACCACGCAGCCGGCTGCGTTGTTATGTGGGTATTCTACCCACTAAACACCACCTGTGAGACTGGCTTTAACCTGGTAAGATCTTTTAGCCGTATCGGAAGCGACCCCCTTGCAGGCGCAGGCGAAGCAACTAGTTTTATATAACGAGTATGAGGACTCTCGTACCTTTGACAAAAGGGGTATGCTTTGTGATGCCGCCTTCTTCTGTTTATACTCAAAGCCTATTAATAACTAAATAATATTATCATAATATTGTAAAATGTGTAACTATTATGTGTAAATGCAGATATTTATATTTAGACTGATGACAATTAAATAAAAGTCGAGTACCCTCTGTTCTAATTAATTCACATGTCATCAAAATATTACTTTAATTTCCCAGACATACAGGTTTCCTCTCGGTGTTTTCTTCACTTTGGAGCACGTAACCATAAATTGAAATGAATGATTTCATTTATCGTGGTAGGAGTTAAACGGGGCGTTGAACTTCTAAAGTTTCCAGGTCTCTCTCTCTCTCTCTCTCTCTCTTCTGAGTTACTACAACTGAGTATAGTACAATCACACTTCTATGTATAACTACTAAACGGGCACTACGGTACTAATACATTGCGCTTTAAGTTAATTTAATTATCCGTAACTTTTGTCGACTGCGAGGAGGCGAGAAGACTGGTGCTTTGTTTTGTAAATTATGAACGCTTTTCGACAATCTAACACATTTTCTTTAATGTGACTCGGAAATCACTGTCATTATTTATATGCGCACTTTGTCAACGTAATTTCAAGTTTATTTCAGATAAGTATTAAACTTTATTTCGTATTTGCCTAAAAGCAGTAACTGTCGTAAATGAAAATCCGATTGCGTGGCATATTTACAGTGCCAACTGCTCACCCGCACGGTCAACAGATGTGACAAAGTTTTTGTTCTGAATTTCCGTTTTTGTAGTATATGTAGGAAGATATTAAAATATAGGTTTATTATGGAAAACCTTATATCACTTCATAAAATTACGAAATACACAGATCAGAGATAATCAACTATAAATAGTCCTAAGACTAATTTAGTAGCTGAGAATAATAATTAATTCGTTTCCACGAATTAATAATCCAAAGAGTCGAGGTTGACCTTGTAGCGGAGTACAACAAGTGCACCGTGCCACGCCAGCGTAAAGACTGTCTTAACGGCGGTCGCTCCGTCCCTTTCATACAAGCGAAACAAGTAGCTACGTGCAACGCACAGGAGTGCGGTGCACGTACAGCGGTGCAGGTGCCGACATATACATACAAGTCTGAATATTATATACATATATAAAAAAAGCATTTAATTTTATCCCCAGTGGCGATGACGAGCCCATCACAGCAGTATGGGTGTGTGTAGCATGTCGGCTGGCCCGGGAGAGTGAGGGGGAGAGCGGTGAAGCAGGGCGTAGTTTGCTGTCGAGCGGGGCGGTGGAGCCTCGGCGCTCGCTGCTGCACGTCGTGTCGCTGCAGCAGCGCGCCGCACCCAACGCCCGGTCAGTGAACACGATTTATTTATTTATTGTTGTCGAGCGGGGCGGTGGAGCCGCGGCGCTCGCTGCTGCACGTCGTGTCGCTGCAGCAGCGCGCCGCACCCAACGCACGGTCAGTGAACACGATTTATTTATTTATTGTTGTCGAGCGGGGCGGTGGAGCCGCGGCGCTCGCTGCTGCACGTCGTGTCGCTGCAGCAGCGCGCCGCACCCAACGCACGGTCAGTGAACACGATTTATTTATTTATTGTTGTCGAGCGGGGCGGTGGAGCCGCGGCGCTCGCTGCTGCACGTCGTGTCGCTGCAGCAGCGCGCCGCACCCAACGCACGGTCAGTGAACACGATTTATTTATTTATTGTTGTCGAGCGGGGCGGTGGAGCCGCGGCGCTCGCTGCTGCACGTCGTGTCGCTGCAGCAGCGCGCCGCACCCAACGCACGGTCAGTGAACACGATTTATTTATTTATTGTTGTCGAGCGGGGCGGTGGAGCCGCGGCGCTCGCTGCTGCACGTCGTGTCGCTGCAGCAGCGCGCCGCACCCAACGCACGGTCAGTGAACACGATTTATTTATTTATTGTTGTCGAGCGGGGCGGTGGAGCCGCGGCGCTCGCTGCTGCACGTCGTGTCGCTGCAGCAGCGCGCCGCACCCAACGCACGGTCAGTGAACACGATTTATTTATTTATTGTTGTCGAGCGGGGCGGTGGAGCCGCGGCGCTCGCTGCTGCACGTCGTGTCGCTGCAGCAGCGCGCCGCACCCAACGCACGGTCAGTGAACACGATTTATTTATTTATTGTTGTCGAGCGGGGCGGTGGAGCCGCGGCGCTCGCTGCTGCACGTCGTGTCGCTGCAGCAGCGCGCCGCACCCAACGCACGGTCAGTGAACACGATTTATTTATTTATTGTTGTCGAGCGGGGCGGTGGAGCCGCGGCGCTCGCTGCTGCACGTCGTGTCGCTGCAGCACCGCGCCGCACCCAACGCACGGTCAGTGAACACGATTTATTTATTTATTGTTGTCGAGCGGGGCGGTGGAGCCGCGGCGCTCGCTGCTGCACGTCGTGTCGCTGCAGCAGCGCGCCGCATCCAACGCACGGTCAGTGAACACGATTTATTTATTTATTGTTGTCGAGCGGGGCGGTGGAGCCGCGGCGCTCGCTGCTGCACGTCGTGTCGCTGCAGCAGCGCGCCGCACCCAACGCACGGTCAGTGAACACGATTTATTTATTTATTGTTGTCGAGCGGGGCGGTGGAGCCGCGGCGCTCGCTGCTGCACGTCGTGTCGCTGCAGCAGCGCGCCGCACCCAACGCACGGTCAGTGAACACGATTTATTTATTTATTGTTGTCGAGCGGGGGCGGGTGGAGCCGCGGCGCTCGCTGCTGCACGTCGTGTCCGCTGCAGCAGGCGCCGCACCCAACGCACGGTCATTGAACACGATCGGTTTATTTATTGTTGTCGAGCGGGGCGGTGGAGCTGGCGGCGCTGTCGCTGCTACGTCGTGGTGTGCGCGCCGCCCCACGCACGGTCAGTGAACACGATTTATTTATTTATTGTTGTCGAGCGGGGCGGTGGAGCCGCGGCGCTCGCTGCTGCACGTCGTGTCGCTGCAGCAGCGCGCCGCACCCAACGCACGGTCAGTGAACACGATTTATTTATTTATTGTTGTCGAGCGGGGCGGTGGAGCCGCGGCGCTCGCTGCTGCACGTCGTGTCGCTGCAGCAGCGCGCCGCACCCAACGCACGGTCAGTGAACACGATTTATTTATTTATTGTTGTCGAGCGGGGCGGTGGAGCCGCGGCGCTCGCTGCTGCACGTCGTGTCGCTGCAGCAGCGCGCCGCACCCAACGCACGGTCAGTGAACACGATTTATTTATTTATTGTTGTCGAGCGGGGCGGTGGAGCCGCGGCGCTCGCTGCTGCACGTCGTGTCGCTGCAGCAGCGCGCCGCACCCAACGCACGGTCAGTGAACACGATTTATTTATTTATTGTTGTCGAGCGGGGCGGTGGAGCCGCGGCGCTCGCTGCTGCACGTCGTGTCGCTGCAGCAGTGCGCCGCACCCAACGCACGGTCAGTGAACACGATTTATTTATTTATTGTTGTCGAGCGGGGCGGTGGAGCCGCGGCGCTCGCTGCTGCACGTCGTGTCGCTGCAGCAGCGCGCCGCACCCAACGCACGGTCAGTGAACACGATTTATTTATTTATTGTTGTCGAGCGGGGCGGTGGAGCCTCGGCGCTCGCTGCTGCACGTCGTGTCGCTGCAGCAGCGCGCCGCACCCAACGCACGGTCAGTGAACACGATTTATTTATTTATTGTTGTCGAGCGGGGCGGTGGAGCCGCGGCGCTCGCTGCTGCACGTCGTGTCGCTGCAGCAGCGCGCCGCACCCAACGCACGGTCAGTGAACACGATTTATTTATTTATTGTTGTCGAGCGGGGCGGTGGAGCCGCGGCGCTCGCTGCTGCACGTCGTGTCGCTGCAGCAGCGCGCCGCACCCAACGCACGGTCAGTGAACACGATTTATTTATTTATTGTTGTCGAGCGGGGCGGTGGAGCCGCGGCGCTCGCTGCTGCACGTCGTGTCGCTGCAGCAGCGCGCCGCACCCAACGCACGGTCAGTGAACACGATTTATTTATTTATTGTTGTCGAGCGGGGCGGTGGAGCCGCGGCGCTCGCTGCTGCACGTCGTGTCGCTGCAGCAGCGCGCCGCACCCAACGCACGGTCAGTGAACACGATTTATTTATTTATTGTTGTCGAGCGGGGCGGTGGAGCCGCGGCGCTCGCTGCTGCACGTCGTGTCGCTGCAGCAGCGCGCCGCACCCAACGCACGGTCAGTGAACACGATTTATTTATTTATTGTTGTCGAGCGGGGCGGTGGAGCCGCGGCGCTCGCTGCTGCACGTCGTGTCGCTGCAGCAGCGCGCCGCATCCAACGCACGGTCAGTGAACACGATTTATTTATTTATTGTTGTCGAGCGGGGCGGTGGAGCCGCGGCGCTCGCTGCTGCACGTCGTGTCGCTGCAGCAGCGCGCCGCACCCAACGCACGGTCAGTGAACACGATTTATTTATTTATTGTTGTCGAGCGGGGCGGTGGAGCCGCGGCGCTCGCTGCTGCACGTCGTGTCGCTGCAGCAGCGCGCCGCACCCAACGCACGGTCAGTGAACACGATTTATTTATTTATTGTTGTCGAGCGGGGCGGTGGAGCCGCGGCGCTCGCTGCTGCACGTCGTGTCGCTGCAGCAGCGCGCCGCACCCAACGCACGGTCAGTGAACACGATTTATTTATTTATTGTTGTCGAGCGGGGCGGTGGAGCCGCGGCGCTCGCTGCTGCACGTCGTGTCGCTGCAGCAGCGCGCCGCACCCAACGCACGGTCAGTGAACACGATTTATTTATTTATTGTTGTCGAGCGGGGCGGTGGAGCCGCGGCGCTCGCTGCTGCACGTCGTGTCGCTGCAGCAGCGCGCCGCACCCAACGCACGGTCAGTGAACACGATTTATTTATTTATTGTTGTCGAGCGGGGCGGTGGAGCCGCGGCGCTCGCTGCTGCACGTCGTGTCGCTGCAGCAGCGCGCCGCACCCAACGCACGGTCAGTGAACACGATTTATTTATTTATTGTTGTCGAGCGGGGCGGTGGAGCCGCGGCGCTCGCTGCTGCACGTCGTGTCGCTGCAGCAGCGCGCCGCACCCAACGCACGGTCAGTGAACACGATTTATTTATTTATTGTTGTCGAGCGGGGCGGTGGAGCCTCGGCGCTCGCTGCTGCACGTCGTGTCGCTGCAGCAGCGCGCCGCACCCAACGCACGGTCAGTGAACACGATTTATTTATTTATTGTTGTCGAGCGGGGCGGTGGAGCCGCGGCGCTCGCTGCTGCACGTCGTGTCGCTGCAGCAGCGCGCCGCACCCAACGCACGGTCAGGGAACACGATTTATTTATTTATTGTTGTTGTTAAGCGAGCGTTTTGTAGCGGTGGATCCGGCCTGTTGTGCCTATGCCTGTCCAGCCCACGAATATGTTTACTAGATCTTTATATTTTAATAGTTTTCCACCGCGCGGTTTCGCCCACATTAAATCAAATTTTCGTCATAGTAAGTGTCGACCGTTGCCCATGAATAACTGCAACCCCAATCAAATTGCATTTGCGTTACCGGCGTTTTTAAAAGAAGTAAGCTCGTTTCTTTAAGGTGTCTAAGTCGTGTCGGTCCGAAAAAATCGCCGGTGGTATATGATTCCACAAAGAAGTCTTTCAAAGAAGAAAACTGCTAGTAAATCGCACATTCATGGTGGACCGCCAGACATTCAGATGGTGTGGATGGTACCGCGAGTTTTGTCCCGATGTGCGTTAGTGAAGTTTGGTGGCAGGAATTAATTCGGACAATTTATCTCGGTACTCCCCGTGCAAAATGCGATAGAAAATTCAATCGGATGCAACATCCCTTCGCAGCACCAGTGAATAGAGCCAATCAGAAAGAACTCCATCATCGAAGATTCGAGCAGTGAAGAGTGTACTGGATGCGGTCAAGTGGAAGGAGCCGGCCTTGAGGTGCCCCTGGCCAGAGATGAGAACAGTAATTCATATGAGGGCGAATATGCACTTTGTAAAGTTGCAAACAGTACGCTGGCAATAAATACTGTCCCGCTATGCTGAGCACGCCAAGCTTTTTAGAGGCCAATTTAGCTTTCCCGTCAAAGTGACCGCGGAACTGTACTTCATTCGATATTTCGATGCCGGGGATTCCTAAGCTAGCCGTGGCAGCATGGGGAGTGCCCTAAATTAGATAAAGTATGACAAAGGTGTTATTTTTGGCGGTAAACGCGCAATCCTGTGTCTTGAAATTTAAACTGGACCAGAGACGTCCCCAATCCGAGATTTTGCTTATTTCAGACACAAGTTTCTTCCGATACTCGATGACGTGTTCCCGAAAAATATTAGCCCGACCGGTGTAAAAAGCATCACCAGTGTTACAACCAGTAACAGCAACATACTCGTAAATTGATATGCAGCGTAGGTGATAGCACGCGACCTTGTGGAATACTAGCATTAATAGGCTCGTAGTCGGAGTATGCACGGTCTACTACGACCTTAATGCTCCAATCTGCAGGAAGGTGATGAATCCATTTGCACAATTTCTTAGGAAGCCCATATAAAGTATGCTTCTAAAGAAGCACTTTGTGCCAAAGCCTATCGAAGGCCTTCGCTATGTCCAAAGTAACAACCAAAGCCTCTCTCTTAAACTCTACTGCTCCCGCTCATCTATGACTCAGGTAAATTAGAAGATTAGAACTCGAACCAGCCGATTAGAGAACAATGAGGAGATGGTGATAAGATACTAGTTAAATAGTTAAAAGGGACAACGCATTTTACATTTTGATTCTTAATCGGAGATGGGTGTGGATGTTCTACAGGCCACAACATCTAAATACCATCAGGTGAGCTCATTTGTCATCCTTGCTCTATACATAAAGGCTTGGATACTATCGAATTGAGAGCGACCGCCCCACAACGGAGGCACCACAGCTGACTCGAGTATAAAATTAATAAATATTACTACTAGCTGGTAGGACTTCTTTTCCTGGTAGCAGTCCGACTGGGTAGGTAACAACTCCTTGCCTATTTCTGTGCGTGAAACAGAAACAGAAACTTTTTTATTCAATATAGATTATAAATAATCATTATTGAGAATCAGTTTTTTTTTTTAAATTTACCACTGTTTCGGAAAAAACCTCTGTCCTGGGAAGAACCAGCAAGAAACCCAGCGGGACTATTTAAAAAAAAAGCTTACAATCATGTATGTTACAATTAACAACACAAGACAAATTAGAAATAGCTTGGTAGCGTCACCCTTCCCAAGGGATATCATCCATAAAATCCTTAATATTATAATAACCCTTTTTATACAAACTTAGTGTAATATAGTTTTTGAACTTTAACTGCAAGGGTATTCCGATTGAAAGGGTAAGCTATTAGACTTAATTTCTTGTTTCTAGGCATTCTGTCTAGTCCTCAGAGGTGATAACGCATTTTAGCCTTCTATGTTTGAAGTTGATTACTGATGTTACTATCCACTTGCCAGTGGATTGTAAATTCGTTTCTTATTTAAATGTTATAACGAAATACTTCTAATTCTAAAATATTCTTTACAGCATCCGCCTTCTCTGTCGCTTCGCTCAGTGCATCTTGAACCCAGAGTCGGAGAGCTTAGTCCGTGCGTACGAAGCAACTTGCGCAGCGGTACTCGGTTCGAACGATGCCGACGTGATGGCGTGGGGCAAAGCGCCCAGTGCGAAACTCCTCCCACGTCTCGCTCTAAGGCTATTTCCAGGGAAGGAGGCATACTTTAAAGAAGAACTAGATATGGTGCCGGAAGACGCCTCATGTTGCTCAAAATAATTTCATTGCGAATGAAAGAGCGAAATTCTTAACTAGTCTTGATGCTAACCTAAACTCATCACGTTCATGGAATTTTATGTGACATAATATGTAGATATCGTCGATTTGTTTTGTTTACGTGTTATACTGATGAGCCATCTCCGAGCTACCCCTAAATCTGAACGCACATTTGTCAGCACGCGCCGCATTTACTGATGACCTCGCACATTTGTACGTACGCGCCGAACGCAATAATTCTTTTTGACAGCAATTTTTGCAGTTTTTCTAACCACTAGTATGAAACGGTACGGTGACATTGATCGCTCGGAATCTCTCGGATCGCTATGGTAAAAATTGTTGAAACAGTCTGTTTATTGGCAGAGAAAGAAAAAAAATTAAAAGAAAAAAATTAATTTAAAATCAGTTGTATTGAGAATATTATACTTTATTTAAAGACAACAAGAGAGATTTATTAGATGTTGACGAACAATTTTTCAGATATTTGCATTTGGCATACAAGAAATTTCAAGAATTGCTACGTAAACCATACCTCACTACGGAAAATACGAAATCACCAGTTTTAGTGGAAAATCCATTTAGTTAGCAACATTAGACAACAGTATCAGCTCACGTCGAACGCGCCTCATTATATGACGTCATCAGCATGCCTCCTTCAAAATTCGGATACCTTTTATAAAATACGACGCGTACGTTGCGGCTGCAATGCGCCAGATTTCATATGATTTCTTACAACGAACTCTAAATTGCTGTGGGTGCTGCGCCTACGGGGCTGACAAATGTGCGTTCAACACATAACATAATATCTGACTTATTAATAGTAAGTAACTCCTAGTATAGGTCGTGCCACGTAAGATGAAATTAAATAGAGTCCACTGCGCATGTACAATCAAGCAGAAAAATGAAAATTTTATTATGGCATTTTAATATGTAAAAAGTCCAAGGTCAACATTATAACTACACATCAAAGTCTCCACGAAAACTGAACGATATATTTATGTATCATCGTTAGGTTTTAACTGCTTCTAAATAATATTCTGCATTTTATGTACACTTAGTTAAAGAAATAAAATATTTTGTATTTGTATTTTTGTATTTGTAATTGCTGTTTAAACTATACTATGCGATAGCCTTCGATTATAAGGATATTTTACATGCAATAATTTGCAAAAAAAATCTTCTTGTAGAAAATAACAAAATATTTAAAACTTTATACAATATCCTACGAACTACGTTATTTTAAATAGTCCCAAAATAATTTATAAAGTCATAAATATTTGCACACTATTTGAAAATATTATAGAACAATATTTTTAAAAGTACAAAAATAATCGCAAAAATTCAAAATTTTATAACAGGTAGTCGCTAACACTTTCGATATCGATAGTACACAAGACGACATAAGAACTCGGCGACGGGACGCAGGAAGAAACCACTTGGGAATAGCGCGTCGCCCGTTGCTATGGTTTCGCTTCCCCGTACCTCACACCTCACCGTGCCGACACCTATTTTTCGGTTCTGCGCACTTCCATGACTCGTGGGTTACTATAAGTCTACTGTGGAACGGACACAGTGGAATATATATGGACAATTAGTAAAGTGTGAGAAGTAACTTTAAAAATATAGCTCTCATTGTGAATTTCATTTGTTGAAAATAATCGAATAGGAAATATTTTTCTCAATGTAGATTAAGATTATTACATAATACTCGTCATTTTATTATTTTCCACTGGTTGGGGAAATACATCCGTCCCGGGAAGAACCAGCAGGAAACCGGATGATTATTAGTTTTAAATAAAAAGTTTACAATAATATGTACTATTTTTATTGTTTTTCTGTTGTATTGTCAAAATTAAAAACATATATAATTTTAAGGTTAAAATGTATCATATACATTTAATATATTTTTGATATTTGTTACAAAATACGTTAAATTAACGGCATCTTAATACCAAACCAAAAAACTTAATGTAAATACATTTTTAAATAAAATATGTACAGTGTAGCGAGTATTTAGAGATATTGGTTAAAGGTACGAGTAGGTGAGGGTAATATGGTCATCCGGTTAATATGGTCACTTTCTTATTACGTAAAAACTACAGCCTTGTTTGCATAGATGGCTCTGTGATACGATAGCTCTTCATCGGTCAATCAAATAATAAAGGGCCAAAGGGGCGCTGCTTTATCGACGCCATTTTGACAGTTGACTTTATAGTAGATATTTTAGTTGATTTTAGTATCGTGTAGTTTTTTTTAAGTTGATTCTTGGAATTGTCCCTAATTATTGCCAGCTTATTTGCTATTTTTTCTTAATATATTACTTATAGTATACGATTTTGTGTTATTGTTTCTGGTGACCATATTACCGTCACGTAACTTAGTAGTTATAAAAATTAAATATAAAACATGTTAAACCTGCAAACATATCATCTAATTTCGAATATAAGTTTACTGAAGCATTACAAACAGTACATATAACAAAAAAATCTCTCTCATACTCTCTTGATATAGATTCATTATTACCCAAAACAAAAAATACAAAAATTACTCATGCTCGGAAAGTTATACTATCATATTCCCACAAAGCTCTGACATATACAAACACAATATAATCTATAAAACATATTTTAATTCTTCAATATAAAAATTTTCGTTTTTTTTTTAAATGGTTGACTTTTCTCAGCAATTACAACGAAAGTATAAAGTTTGATTTACTTTCACTTTGAATTTTAGATACAAGGAGAAGTAAATAAAATATTCAATGACTTTGACAAAGTAATTTCTTTTGAAAGTATTTATGAGTGATGACATGAAAGTTGTATCAGCCAATATTGAATTACATTTTTAATATCAAATGTGATATTACGTATGCTTCATTAAATAAAATGATTTTATACACAAATTTGTTTCATTCATTCCTTATAAATTGCTAATGCGTCCCGAAAAAACACAAAGATTCGAGCAATGGAGTTTAGCCAGTTTATCGAACAAGCTAGTTCAATACACATGATTAAAACTACTTTTACGGATTTTATCGCGTTTATTTTTGCTTTTAATTACTTTTATTTTTAATTCCCGACGTTTCGGGCGCTTTCCAGCACCCATGGTCACGGACCACCACAACCCAAACCCCTTACTAATACTTCCAAAAATAACCCCCCAACCACAACCCAAAAAAAAAAAAAAAATAAAAAAAAAAAAAAAAAAAAAAAAAAAACAAAAAAAAAAAAAAAAAAATAAATATTAAACTACATTTTTTTACCCTTCCCCCCTTTTCTAGCCCCAACCCCCTCTTTCCCCCCCACCTCCCCTCTTTCACATAAAAGGGTATCCATTATGTTTGCGCTCCAGCAGCGCTCCGCGCTCCTGCAACTGCTCCCGGTAGTGGGTACTATTGTTTCCATCCAAGTTCAAAATGATTTTCCTAGAAAGTCCTTATAAAGTTCTACTTTTCAGATTTTTTTCACATTTTCTAAACTTATGGTTCAAAAGTTTTTTTTTACTTTTGGACATTGTTTTTTACTTTTGGAGCGATTATTTCCGAAATTACTGACATTATCAAAAAATGATTTTAGTAAACCCCTATTCATTTCTAAATACCTTTCCAACAATATATCACACGTTAGGGTTGAAATTAAAAAAAAAATCACTTCCCCCTTTACATATAGGGGGGCTACCCTAATAAAACATTTTTTCCAATTTTTATTTTACCACTTTGTCGGCGTGATTGATACACATATTGGTACCAAATTTCAGCTTTCTAGTGCTAACGGTCACAGAGATTAAGCGAGGACGGACAGACGGACAGACAGACATGGCGAAACTATAAGGGTTCCTAGTTGACTACGGAACCCTAAAAAGAATGTCGAAACCAGAAACAAGTGAAACACACATTTGCATTTGTTTTATATTTAGGTTTATATCTAAATATTTTATTATGTAGCTACCTACTAACAAACTATTTAATATTTACAATTCACACTCCTTTTTATTTCTGTGACACGCTTATACTTAAGTGTTAAAATATTTATAAAATCTGCACGAGATCACTAGAGGTCACTACCGCGGCAACAATCTCTTTCCATGATAATGTACAACCAGACCAAATACGGCGGACGCCGTGGCGACAGCTGAAGCCTGCGTGGTTGTGAGCGCTCCGCCCCACAGCCAGCCGCGCGGCAACCAGCTCACCACATGCACCACGTCCAACAGTAACTTGGTACTGGTGAGAGTGGCTTGAGTGACACGTACGTGTGCGCATTTTGGTCTTTTAGGTGATCTGAGCATCTTTCTTGTCAAGTGCAATGCGCGAAGAGACCTGTGGAAATGTGAAAATAAAAATATTATCAATGGCTAAAACCAGTACATGTTAGCAGTGATGACTTACTGAACCGAAAGTGGTCCTTTACTGCTGACCGTATGAGGAAGCTGTAAGTCGTTCAGTCTGTTTTAGAAATAGTAATAAATAATAAGCTTTTATTTTATTTTTTACTTATTAGGTATACCGTAACGAAAGCCTGTTCACTCTTGCCTTGAAGACACCAAGATTGTATTCGGACGGAAAGGCAGACGCTGGCAAATTATTCCACTCCTTAAAGACGAAGCAAACCGTTTGATTCGAATGCGTGGAATATCGACAACACAGGGATGAAGACCCGCCAACCGTCTTGTTGATCGCTGGTAGAGAGGAGAGGGAAAGATAAAAGCATGTAATTTCTGCGCACACTCCGAAATGCATCCTATAGAACACCGATAAGCTATCTAGGTACTCCGCGCCAGTGCTCGAGGCTGATCCTCTGTGGGATGAAATCCGTAACGAGAATATCATCCGCAGAAGAAGAAAAACCATATTTTTAGGGATTTTATTACGTTTATTTAATTTACTTTTATGGTCTAAAGTAAAGTTACAGCCTATATACATCCCACTGCTGGGCACAGGCCTCCCCTCATTTCTGAGGGGGTTTTAGGGCAAGGAAATGTTTGCCGCGCTGCCCCAATGCGTGTTGGCGAACTTCACATGTCTTCGAAATAATTTTTTTTTCTTATTCCTCAAACATGCAGGTTTCCTCACGATGTTTTCCTTCACCGCCGAGTACGTGGTAAATTTGTGGTCTAGATGTTTCGAATACTTTACAGCATGCATAGCCGATTCCCTCGTGATCATGGATGCTGAAAGTACTTGAAACGTCGGGAAAATACATGGCTGAAAATTAAATGCTATAAAATCCGTAAGAAATTAGTTTAAGTGTTTGGTGTACTTCGGAACTTTAATAACGCGATTTAGGCTTCGACGTGTTTCGCTTGTGACGCGAGGATAGCGTCGCCACAAGTGTATTATGGCCAAATACTCCAACGCTACTCAATTTTAATGCGCTGTTATGGCTCGTGGTGTCACAGGCACTTTGACTTAAATCCTTTGAATATTTCGGCATTCGTTCATAATTTCCAAGTAACATGATTACATGATTAATTATTTTGCTCACCTGATTAATCCAATGAATGCAGAAAGAGACCAGAAGAGCTTATGTGCTATCCGAATTCGTTCAGCTAGATCTGGAGTCAGTTTCAGCACGCCGGTATCTAGCAGCCAGACAAGTTTCTCGGCTTGTAGGTACGATAGCGTACATAGTCCATTAGTAAGTCCCAAAGTGCCCCATAGAAAGCCTTCCTAAGGAATAATATTTGGGCATGAATACAAACTACTACTAAATGTTTTAGTATACCGACGACCTTCACGTGCAATCTGATATTAATAAGTCATCATATTACAATATATAAGATTCAGTTTATTTTTCTCGTTAATAACGGACCTCCTTGTTTTTTTAAATTATGTTATAGTATATGAACTCTAACATAATTCTAATAAACATCACTGTGCCATGTTAGTCCGGATTAGCTTAGGCTTCGGGTACATTCAAGTCTGGCAACTTTACAAATGGAAGTTAACTTTGCGATTTGGGATGTACAGGTACAAAATTATGATTAACACGGTAAAGTTACATTTTTCAAGATATGCCATTTTTTGATGAAAATTTAATAACTAATTAACAGCATTGTTTTCTGTTTAATTTTAGCATATTTTAACGTGGAATTGTGCCGGCGACGTAACCTCTTTGTTCAGTGCTCCAGAACTTTTGTTGATTTTGTATTAATTAATGTAGGTAGGATCTTTACAATAAGTAACCTTAATGGTTAGCAAATGTAATATTTCGTTTTTAAATGGCGGTCTTAATATTTATTTAAGGTAACTTAGGCAATTAACGCCCACCTAACTTAAAACGAAATTTATGATGTTATTAATTAATGAAATTAAATATACTGTATATTAAAGGTATTACAATATATTACAGAATTGTAAAATGCAAATTTTGATCCACTATTAATTACAATTCCACATCAGTACAACTTTTTAAAAAAAACCTATTTTGGGCGTTATTAAAAATACATAGTTTATTAACGCCCGTTTGAGTTAAGGACACTGACAGACACTATATAATTGAAAACCACACATAATCCGGATGTTATTTTTTTATTTTTTCTGATAAGAATACAAAATTTAGGTAAAAAATCAACAATAAACATAAAAAATAGTAAACTTCGCAGCACATGTAACATTACTTGTAACTTCTTTTTAATCATCATTATTAAAACAATTTCGATACTACATTTAAATTTGTAATAATTACTAGCATAATAGCTTTAAATAAGTTTAAAAAAAAAATATTTTTTATGGTTTAGTGGGCGTTATTATGCGATGGTGGATTATTGCGCCCTGTATTGTATTAGGTAATATCCGCCCCAGATCTAGCATTCTTAATGAGAGTTGCTTCACAAACTAATATTTTGATAATTAAAATGAGATCAGGTAATTAGTACAGTTACTTACAAAATGGAAAACAACTGTCAATGGCAAATAAACCATTTTCTAAACTATAGTATAATACAATATCAATCAGTCTTTGAATATGAAACCAATCGGTTAACTTGCTTTATCTTAAAGTCATTAAATAGTATAAACCAGATTAACACTCGGAACAAATAAATTCTTTATCACATTTTGATAGTCCCACACACTCTTCGTGGTACCATCTCTTACTAATTCCACATTGACGCATGTCTAAGTTCTTGTTTTCAAAACATGCATAGCAGTACCACTCTTCGGTATCATCTTTTATTTCATTTATTTGCTTCTTTTTTCTCTGTTGTTTTTTTTTTGTTATATCTTTACACTTTAAAACTTTTTTCTCGGTGTTTACTTCTTTGGTGTTAGGATTTTTCTTATCTAATGTATTCTTCTTCTGTTGTTTATTAGTTTTGGCATTAACCTTGCCATTTATTTTGTTTTTTTGTTGTTTCTCACTTTTATCTGAAAATAAATCCTTAGTTATTCTTTGTCCTTTATAATTCATCGCTTTCTTACATTGTCTTTTTGTTTTAACTTGTGTATAATTGGGAGTTGGCAAAAAACTTTGGATTGGTGTCTTATTACTTTGTTAGTTTAAATTAATATTATAATCTCCATCTGAGGCACTAAAGTTCTCATTATTTGTTTTGTACATTTCATGTGAGGAACTAATAATAAGTTTCTCAGGTGTGATTTGCCCTTTAGGGATAAAATAGTCAGTATTTTCATCATCTTCGGCTGACGAGTAACTATATATGTCTTCAGCAGCGCATTTTTTAAAGAGAGACGTATGAACTAAGGCATCTAAATCAGAAACTGTGGAGTTAGAACTAGAGCTTGGACGAATAGGTTTATGTAATCCAGAACAACTTGGAACTCCCAAATATATTTTGTAAGTGTCCTTATTGCTTAGAAGTGGTTCGTCATTGGCACTTACCAAAAAACGTCATTTTCTGAAATCAAAGAAGGTGAAGCACAGTATTCTTCCACCTGTGTTGCTGGCCTATGAGCATATTCTACCATTTCGAAGTCAGAAACATCGGGAGATGAGCTATAGACAACGAGACGGCATTTAACTATCGAAGAGTTTTCAGTTGTTGAAGGTACGATTGGTACCAAATCGGTTTCGGTCGGTTTATTAAGATTAGGGTATTCATCAATCTCTAATACATCAGATGTAGAGTTCTGCAGGAGCCAATCATATGTCGTACAGTGTCATCGTTCAATATGACGTCAGATAAAGGACTTTGTATGGGCTCCACGCTAGTTTGTGGCCATGCAATTTCAGACAAAATTGATGGGGCATCTGCTTCCTTCGGCATAGCTTCAGGATTAAACGAGAATAATCCTGTTGCCGCAAATCCATTCACAATGTTGCTATGCGTCATGCATTTGGGCCAGACTTGACTAAATATCTTATTAAAAGTGGCTTTTGACATTGTTTTGTCGGGGTGTGTATATAAGAAGTTCAGAACTGCTTCATCCCAGTGGTGTTCATACGACTTATTGACTGATTTGTCTAAGGGCTGAAGCTCATGCGTTGTGTTAGAAGGGAGGCAATACAAAACTATATCGTTTTTATCAGCTTCATCTAAAACTTCTATTGACAAGTGACATTTGGCACCATCAAATATAAGTAAACATTTTCCAGCAACCTTGTATTTCGCTAAGTGCTTAATAAACTCCACAAACAAATCAGCAGTCATACTGCCTTTCGGTGCCATCCTGACTAACGTTCCTGGTGGTAAGTTATCACATAGATCAGGTCTCTGTCTTTTTCCTTTAAAGAGGATCATAGGTGGTATCGCAGTACCAATCGCATTCACGCACATTGCTATCGTAACATTTTCCGCGTGTTCAGGGGCAATGAGATGAACTCTTTTGCTTCCTTTCTCTGCTAGGACTGTGTTCTGCTTGTGTACAGTTATCCGGCATCCCTTTTCATCCATATTGTACAATTTTTCTGGATGTTGTAGGATATCCATCTCATTGTACAATTTTTGCACACTCTGAAAATGTTGCTGAACAATTGTTTTGTTTAATTTTTGTGCTCGAGCTGGATTCATTATTTGCGGCTTTCGTTTGCTAATTGAGGGATTCCGCTTTAAAAAGTATCTCAACCAATCAGTGCCAGCAATTCTTTTGGAATTATTGAAATTATTTTTTATTTCGTATGTTTCACAAAACATATATATGCTTGTTTTCTTATACATTTTGGCGTGAGGGGCACCAATTTTAGCGAATCTTTTTATTCGTTCAACGAGGTCATTTTCTTGATGTTCTGTAAAAATTGGTTTTCTTCCCAAACGTTTAACGATTGTGCCCGTTTTCAAATGATCATTCAATGTTCTTCGCGGAATTTTATGCCTGGAAGCTGCAACACGCTGAGACAATTAGCCTCTTTGAACAGCATTCATTGCTGCTTTTAAGCCTTCTTCAGTCCACAATTGTCCTCTTTTTTCACCCCTGGACCTGGTCGGAGCCATTTTACTAACCTGCGTAGGTAATAATTAACATAAATAATAAACGTTTTCCCAAATTATAGATTTTAGTAATTAACTAAGTTTTATTTTCGATTTAGCTTGGTAACGTACAGTATAAGTTCTTTAGACATGATTTAGAAAACTTTTATATTGAAATAACATAATAAGTGCATTAGGCCTATAACGCCCATTTGTCTGTTAACAACCTATATTGTTACCCCGAAAGGGAATTGTTATTCAATCCACGCATTTTAATACAATAATTACAGAAATAAACTCAAAATATCATAGCATAGTCTAGTAAAGCTAGTAAACTAGTAAATATTACGAGAAATATTACGAAACATGCGGTAAAACAAATAAAATGGAGCAATTTTTATATTTACGGTGTTCACAACTGACGTTCGACATGCGAAGCGCGTCACTGCCAAGATGGCGGCGCGAGAGCATTCGTATGGGTATATTTTATGTTTGTGTGAGGTGTAACACAAACCATAATAAATTAATAACGTTTTTATAAGATTGGGCGTTATTAAACCACGGGCGTTAATTGCCATACCTACCTTATATAACTTACTTGGCAAAGTTAATGTACTAGTGATGACACGATGTGACCTTTACATGATTTGCTACAACCAAGTTTTGTTACATTCAACCTATATTTTTAACCGCTTACGGCGATTCAAAGAAATGATTCTATACTTGACATTTTACGTGTGTATGTTTGCAGAGATGTTTTACCGTAGCAGCTTATTAGACTGATTTTACCTACCTAATGAGTCAATCGATTCATCGTTATCAAAAGTGAAAGAAAAGAGAAATATATGTTATTTTAACTGTTTATTTAATAATATTATTGCTTATCAGTGTTTTTCATATTGTTACGAGCTTAGGGTTCGTGACAATAAAAACTGCCGATTGAATTACCAAAATCGACACTTAATTACCGAACACCAATTAAAACTTAAAACACACTAATAATTAATCACACTTAACACTTTAGTTCACTTTATTTCGCTTCCAAGTATTCGCTTGTAACGCCAATTCAATACTGCCCCGGTCGCGGCCCCAAACGGCTTTTTATAGGCCTTTTCCACCGAAACATCTAGAATGTTCCAGCAAATACCGGTCCCGACCGACTAGGATCAGAAAATTCGAGTGTGGAGTTTTCTAGAAAGCTTAGTTCTTCTATTCGATACTAGATGGCGCTAGTGGGAGAGTTCTAGAAAGATCTTGACGCTCATATTTCTGCTACTTGATACCAGATGGCGCTGATAATCACCCGCCGCCGTGCATTAATTATGGCGTGCAACAATATGTTCAACTTAGTGTGTTGATTTTAATTTTTTCCCATGAATAGTTTCATTTCTAATGATTATGAATGTTTTGCTAATGAGAGAAAACAATATTTAGGTTGAATACTATTATTTTTTTACCGGATCGTAACAAAATGATTATGATGATTAGAGGAGCAAATCATAACTCTGAGTATTGTGTATTATATTACGTGGTAAATTTACCTTTGTCATTGAAGTTTAATCCTTTTTTTTTTCATTAAAAATTCCGATGACAAAGTTGCCACAAAGAAAGGTTAACTTTGTCATTTTACAACTTGAATATTTTGTCTGTTTAATGCTAACATTTTTTTATCATTAACAAATACCAAATCTATGAAGAATATAGTGTTACGTTTAACATTGAAGCCCAGAAGAGCCCGAGAGTACCTTTTATGTTGGAAAATTTGTCCTAGAGTTTTAAGTTCTACCAAAAACGGCAAAGTTGCCAAGTTTCACGTCATCTACCCCTTTTACACACATACATTTACATACATTATTAATAAAAATTTCAGATCGGACACGGTGCAGTCGACGCAAATAAATTTGATGATAATTCTGAAGATAATTCTGAGATTATGTAGTTACCTAGTACCTACCTAATATATGTTATACTAATTTGGTTTCAGTATATTATAAGCCTCCGGACTTGTTTTTGCCATGAAATATTAGAATTACAAACACGATTTTTCCACAGATCTGTAACTTTGTTAATATCACATGGGATGTCGCATAAATCATTTTGCCTTTCACCCGCGATACTATAACCATAACTTTAATGAAAACAATAACAAAAAAAAAACAATTATGCAACACCAAAAAAGGTATTAGTAAGTTGTTCTTCTTACTTGCTTTCCAAATCCATATCTGATCATAGCTCTGAGCGCGGCGGCATCATCGAAGAGACGAAGCGTTGCGCGCGCTCCGGCGATCCGCACGCTCGCTGTCAATAATGGCGGACTTTTCGTGGTGGCACCCCATAGCTTAAGTGCGTAGCTCACTAGCGATACCACCTAGGTATTTAAATTATAATACAGCAATAACACAATGTAGGGCGCTACGGTGTACAAGTAGCTTACTTACTTACTTACTTATCTTCACGCACAATCCCTAACGGGGTAGTCAGAGAGAACAGATCGCCAAGTGTCACGATCCTTACATACCTCTTTCGCTTCTTTCAGGTTCATTAACTTCTTCATACATGCACGTCTAGGTATCCGAGTACTCTTGACCTTCCCCTCTTCGAGCAATTTGCTCACATGGTCTTCGAAAGTTAGTCTCGGTCTACCTCGACACCTTTTAATATTTACTTTCTCTCTATATATTTTCTTCACCATTTGGTCTTCACTCATTCGCTCAACGTGCCGAAACCATTGGAGTACGCCCCTATCAATTTTTGTGATAAAGTCATCTTTCAATCCTGCCATATTACGAATCTCTTCGTTTCACTTTCGATCGGCTATGGTAACGCCACACATTTTACGAAGAGATCGCATCTCCATTGCATTCAACTTGCTTTTATGCTTCTTCTGGCATACCCAGGTTTCGCTGCCATATAACAAAGTCGGTACCAACACTGCGTTATGTATTGCAAGGCGTGCACTCTTCACCACGCCTTGCCTTTTGACTAATGCATTCAGGGCACCATTGACTTTGTTTCCGGCAGCGACACGCCTATCCACATCTAAATCACATCTTCCATCCCGGCTGAAAGCACTCCCCCAAGTATACAATTTCATTTACCTGTTCTAGACATTCCTGATTTACCCATATTTCACATTTCGTTCTCTCTTCGTCCTTTTCAAATACCAGAACCTTAGTTTTATTAGCATTCAAACGGAGACCTTTAATTTCACATTCCTCTTTCATACACGTAATGCCTGCAGTTCTGCTTCCGATAGTGCTATAAGCACTGCATCATCAGCATACAGCAGATAATTTACCTTAATGTCACCCAATTACACACCCAAACAGCTATTTTTCAGCTTCTGTAAACAGCTGTCGAGATACAGTATGAACAGCCAGGAAGACATGACACAACCCTGTTTTACGCCCGCTTGGACGCTAAACATGGGTGACAGGTCATGCTCTACCCGCACACAGGCTTTACAGTCATAGTAAAGTGACTGTACAGCCCTTAACAATCGACCATCCACACCATATCCCTGCAACAGTTCCTACATTTTCTTCCTTATAACCTTATCAAATGCTTTCTCCAGATCCACAAAAGCACAGAAAATCCTCTGGTTAACACTCAGAAGCTTTTCCGTGATCATGCGGAGAGAAAACATTTGATCAGTGCATCCTATTCCAGGTCTAAATCCGCATTGTGCCTCCCATAATAATCTTTCCGATTTCTCTTGCATCCTACGTGTTAAAATCTTCGAGTAAACTTTACTTGCTAAACTGGTCAAGGTGATCGCCCAATAGCACCCACAGTCAAAATGTGAACCTTTACCTTTATATAAAGGCACAATGACCGCGGATCGCCAATCATCCGGGACATCTCCCGTCCGCCAGCACAAATTGCACAGCAGACGAAAGCTGTCCCAGACGCGAGGCCCACCGTACTTGACCATTTCAGCAGTAACTCTGTCTGGTCCCGCAGCCTTACCACATTTCAAACTTCGAATCGCACGTTCAATTTCTTTCATGCTAATGACCTCAGTGTCATCGAGGTCCGTGTCTGGCGTGCCAGTCATGGCGTCACCCCCGGATCCTTCACTAAGATCATGAAACGCATACATTTCTCTATAAAATTCACTCCATCGCTGCATGACGTCCGATTTTTCTGAGAGGACGTCATTGGTTCTCGAAAGCACTTTGTTCATTCTTAAGGCTGTCGCACCACTCCGGGACCTTCAAACCTCTTTCCAGAAGAGTTTGGAGTTTTCCTTAAAGTTGTGCGACAACCTCTCGTCCGCTTCTATTCTACACCTCTCACGTACTTCCTCAATCAATGTTTTCGCATGAACTTTCTGCAGCTTGTATCTTTCTTTCATCTTCTCTCTCGTATGCTTATCGTTACTAGAGGCCAAGTAGTCTAAACATGCTTTTTTCTTCTTTTTTACAGCTTCTCTCACTTCATCATTCCACCATGCATCTCTTCTTTTACTACTACCTCTTTTTGTCGTTCCACATACTTCTTCCGCTGCACTTACCATTCCATCTCTAAGGTTCTGCCATGTTCTCTCCACACATTCTTTCCTGCCATCGATGGTGTCAAGCTTTTCGGCTACCCTCGTGTGATATTTGTCCCTAGTATCCGCTTCCTGAAGCTTCCAGCTTCGGATGCGACAGACCGACTGTGGTTCTGTTACTGCCGTCCGGTAGCGCCAACCCGCGAACAAACCCCTAAATCTAGTAATTACTAGATAGTCATCCGTTCCCAGGTCAGCACCCCTGAACACTCGTGTATCCGTCACCTGTTTTCGCAGTCGGTCATCCACCAGGAACAATTCAATCATACTTCTCTCATTCTTTCTTTCTCTAGTGTACATATGGATTTTCCTGTGATTAAACATAGTGTTTGTCACAAGAAGACCCTTTTCCTTGCATACAGCCAGTATAATCTTGCCAGCATCATTAACTCTTTTATCGCCAAACTTTCCAAGCACCGACTCGTATCCTAGTCGAGCGATACCTACCCATCCATTCAAATCACCACATACAACAGTTCTTTCGTTTCCCTTAACCAAATCTAGAACTTCTCTTACATTCTCCCAAAACTCCTCCAGCTCAGCCCTGGAAGACGAAGCTACCGGCGCATAAACAGCCAAAAGGAATAACTTCGTCAGTCCCAGTTTAAAGCGAACCCAGAGAAGGCTTGAGTTCACAACCTTGTATTCAGTCATAAGCTCGACCAACCGGGACGACAACAGCACCCCCACTCCCTGACAGGCGTTCTCGCTTTCCGGGACTTCCGGAACATATAGCTAACGTCCCGCCAGGGAGCTCTTCAGTACCACTGCCTTTCCGTTTGGTCTCCGACATACACGCGACATCTAATTCTCTTTCTTTCATTATTTCGATCAACTCATTCGTCTTATCTCTCATGCCCCCTCTAACATTCCACGTGCCAACTCTGCACTCCGTCCTCCACCTTCCGCCGTGTCGGGCTGTGCGTGACGGGTGGCGGTCCCCATCGCCGCTTTGCGCGCTGCATTCCACACCAACGGGGACGAGCTGGTATGCGTCGCCTTGGGGAGACGCCCTAACTCCCTTTTGCATGGCTGCGCAGCTGTGTAGAATTGCAGCCCTGAAAAGGGCTGGCAGGGGTCGCGACGAGCACGCTTCTACAATGACCCCATGATGATGAGTGTACAAGTAGCGGTATAAGAATATCCGATACCTCATGTCGTCCCGTGGATGTTGGAAGAGGCGACAGAGAGAAACATATTGGAGGATTGGCCACAGCGTCCTACGTCCTAGCGAGACAGTTAAGGCAAATTGTCTCTACATTCCTACAGCTTACAACGGAAGAGTCCGTGTCTAACAGTCGACGTTGACTTTGGTCTATGAAAATGAAGAACGTAACGCAATTCTTGTCTAATGCATTATTTTGTAAAATCCTTCTACTACTTATTTCAGGGAAGGTAAAGAAGCTTGTCAGCCCGCTGACGACGACCGTATTGCACGTGGTCTAATGTTATTATCTTGCTGGTTCTTTTTATATAGGATAAGGGTGACAAGCGAGCCTACAGTCCACATGATCGTAAGTGGTTGCTGTGGTCCATAGACATCTACATCTATCATCGTTTGCGAATCAACATTTAGACACGTAGTCTAGAGGACTAAGACGGAATGCCTCTTTTCCAGTAAAATGGTCTCTGGTTCTCTACACTCACCACACGAAACACAGCAGCATTATGCTGCTATTTTACGCTGGTATTCTGTGAGAGCGTGGTCCTTCCCCGGTCGAGCCGTCCAATCATACTACAACTATACAATTAGTATAGCCGCATGCAATTAATATACCACGTACAAAATCAGTCTGTTTTACCAGGACAGAGGTTGTTTTTCCGAACCAGTGATAATTAAACAAAAGAGTGACTACACTAACTTTTATTTATAACCTATATTGAACAAAAATATTGTTTCTGTTTCTTACACCGACACTATACTATAAAAAAAGAAAATTCTAATGAAATTTTAACTTATCTACAAGAAACTTTGAGGTCATTCCTAAAGGGAGGAATACTGCCTTTCTTCCCGACAGAGATCTCATAATCTACTATACCACACATATATTACTAATTAAAGGGCCATGACTTCATGTCTATCTGTCAAATCTCATATATTTTTATTTTATAATTATAACATTACCTATCAGTAAAATAATACCAATACATATTACATGCGGGGAGTACTATTATTTATTCTGTGATGCGGGGTAAGTAAAGTTAGCGATTAGTATGAGAAATCGATGTGTATGCTATGTGCTTGTTATGTGTAAATCGTTAGGCTACTTCATAGGAGTCCGCGTTTATACGCCTACTATGCATCAGACGGCGGACACGCAAATTGTTGGTCATCGTGAACTACTAAGTTTTAATTTCGATCACGTGCTTCTAATTTTAAAATTAAACTTTTAATTAAAAATAAAGCCAAACTTTAAAAAACCAAAAAGAAATACAAAAAATTTCCACTCAACAGTTACACACCCGGATTCGATCCTGGCCGACACCAATGAAATTGTAAATTGGAATTTTAAGTGCCAATTTACCACGTGCTCGGCGGTGAAGGAAAACATCATGAGGAAACCTGCATGAATGAGAAATAAGAAAAAAAAATATTTCAAAGACATGTGAACTTCGCCAACACGCATTGGGGCAGTGCGGTGGACACTTCCTTGTCATAAAACCCTCTCAGATAAGAGAGTAGGCCTGTGCCCAGCAGTGGAACGTATATAGGCTGTAACTATAACAGTTACACAGATAGGTACAGTCGAATCGAGAACCTCAACCACTACATATTATCACAGTTTAAAGATTATTCTATTCACCTTTCAATAAAATCTGTTTTTTACCTACTGACAGAGAATGCCTTTCTCCATCGAACTTTATCATGAGAAACCGACGCAAAGGAATATTTGTAAGGCGGATTTTAATACAGGTTCGTCAACGTTATCTTCTGTGCTGTTAATTTGTCTTTTGGCATTAATAAGCGTTTCGAATGAATGTTCCTGTACTCACCAGTCTAAATCTACTATTTTTAATCTGTAACCTCACAGAATACTAAATATTACGAGGTACTTCACCAACAGAAGAAACCTGACGCTTACCTTGTCACGATCCGCGTGATACTCCAGAAGGCTACAAATTTCTTCGACTAGCAAAACCATGATAAATTTTACACATTCGCCTTCCTACAGCAATTAATATCTACTATATCTATAATCTAAAAGGTCATGTGTAATTGCGTACAGGTATTTTATCGTACCGTCTTACGATAAGATAATTGTAATAGGTATATATTTAAGGTAGCGAATTTTAGAACATTAGGTGAAAGACATTTTGTAGTGGCCCAGTTTCCTAAAAATCTATGGGCCTCTGGGAGGTAACGATAAACTCAGACCACTGACTGTCCGTAGGATCTGGAACTGCGAACGCCAGTCGGCCTGCTAGGTACAGTCAATATACCTTCCTCTTAAATTACGGAACCCTCAAAAGGTATAGTAAATATAGTATAGCTCTTTAAATTGTAACATGCATACCAGAGGCTTAACATATAAGTGGCCCAATACCCACAAAAACACCAACCAACAATACCAATACCAACAGTTGTGGGAATACCAGCAGAATGCTCGGGCTAGTCGGGATCAAATCTTGTCCGAAATAAAAGCAATGGTTGAGCTTATGAAACTCTCACTGCAAGCAGTCTCCGAATAATATGATGCCATTCTCGTAAGACTCAACGCCCCAAAACCTAAGCGTGATCTTCACCATCTTTATTTCGATTAATCATCCAGGTTCATCACCATTCACCACCAGATGAATTGTAGTCAAACACTTGCTTATAATAAGTAGAATAAAGTAATGATGAATATAATAATGAATTTTGTACACTGTTGCATTTAATATACTTAATAATTTAAATATTATAATTTCTATTATAGTGATCACAGTGACTATATCCGTATACCATCAAAAGTCGACGTCGACAGCGATGTATGATCAAAACGAAAATTTGTTTTTTGGCAGCCTTCTTTTAGGTTTGTTGCTAATGATTTACCTCTAAACACTTGCTTTAAATTTGCGCTGTGTAAGTAGGTACATCGCGAATTGCTCCCAAACTACTTGAGTTGTTATCTGTTCGCCGGCTTGAGAGACTAACTATGGAGCTTTTGAAATCGGCAGAGTTCGCGACTGGGCAAGTCGCTTCCTATCAATGTTGATGGGGAGCGCACAATGAGAAGCTGGCAAAAAAGTTCTAATCATAGAATACTATAATACATACATAATAGAACGGGGGAATGGGCGGAGCCCGTGTAGCCACTAACATGTCACTAACTCGTCAATTCACACGTATAAATGTCAACACAATCAATCGTTTACAATTTTCGTGTCAAGCGTCGCTGCATGCAAATTATTAAAAAATGGCAAATTTTGCAATAATTACGAGTCGAAAGAACAGCGGGAAATAGAATATTAATAAAGAAGACATAGTTTACAACCAGTAAGTCGAAACTATTTATATTTTGTGAATATTAGAAAAAAAAAAATAAAGAAACATTTATGTGTCAAAAATATTAACCAAAAGTCTAAAATGTGTTTGTAGTAGTGATTAACTGATAATGCGACGTAAGTGTTTGTATGAGTGCTCCCGGCGACGTCAATCCTCCTACAAAGTAAGGTTGACGGCCATTCTATTGTGTATTGTAGTATTCTATGGTTCTAATACTTTCGCTGTGCGTAATGTCAATTAACAGATATTGAAACATGAACTAGTACAGCGTGTATCCTGTTTTACTGTTACGTAACAATAATAAATAACAATAATAAATTGGCCATTTCTAAATTTCGGTAAAACAAAACTAAAAATTATTTTCTAACCAAACCTATAAGAATATCTACCTAATAAAAAAAATAATAAAGTTGTTAAACTTTCCTTACTAGTAAGGTCTATTCAATGATATGTAATATAATATCATTCTGTTATAACATTGACGACGATATACTCTTACATATGAAATTGGCTTGTTGTACGGGAGGAATATATAGTATTTTTTTTAAATATATTTAATTAATCAAAGTATACACCGTTGTTATCTACGCACTTTTGCCATCTCATAGGTAGTTCATTGATCCCTTTACTAAAAGAACCTAACGAACGCGAAAAATTTTGGACTGCCGCATTGAAGTTGAATTTTTGCCTTGTAAGAAGTTGTCCAAATTCCGGAAAAAATGGTAATCTGTAAAAATGGTAAAAGCAAGGTCCGAGGAGTACGGTGGATGTCACAGACATTCCAATTGTAGCTCATCTAACTTAGTGATTGTTTGTTGTGCAGTGTGTGGTCTTGCGTTGTCGTGAAGCAGCAGTGGCCTAGAGCGATTGACCAATCTCGGTTGTTTAGCAGCTAGTTCTTCCTTCATGGTTTGCAGTTGCTGACAATAGATATATGCCGTAATCGTTTGGCTAGATATTAGAAAGCTGTAGTGAACCGACACCGGCGCTAGTCCACCAAACACTCACAAGTAACTTTTTCTGAGTCAATTTTCGTTTATGGCAGGATTTGGCTGGGTCTCCAGGTTTCAGCATTGCGACGAGCGCTTCCGATTGTTATACAGTAGGTATCCGCTTTTCATCACAAGTAATGACTCGATTTAAAATCCCTTAATTTTAGTGTCGGTTGAGCAAAGTAACACTGCAGTCGACGCGTGTTTGCAAGTTCGATTCGCTCAATTCATGAGGTACCCATCGTTCAAGTTTTTTTACTTTCCCGATTTGCTCAAAGTGGATTAAAACAGTTTTATCACTTACCCCGAAACTTGCAGCTATCTCTGAAGTGATAATACGACCGATTTGCTTAAAGTGGATTAATACAGTTTTATCACTTACCCGAAACTTGCAGCTATCTCTGAAGTGCTTTGTGATGGATCCGCTTCCACAATAGCCTTTAATTCTTCATTTTCGACTTTGGTCTCTGGCCGTCCACGGGGTTGGTTCTAAAGGTCGAAATTTCCGGAACGAAAACGTTGAAACCAAAAACGTACCGTGCTTTCTTTTGCGACACCAGTGCCGTACACATCATTAATCCTCCGAACTGTTTCTGCAGCACTGGTGCCACGGTAGAACTCGTACTCGTAAATATACCGATATTTCATGTTTTCCATTGTGCAGGAATAAACGACGCCAAATTAAAAATTAATGAGGAAAAAACAAATGAATTTATAAATTTGAATTTTGAATTCTTAATGAAAAAGGAGATATTTCAGATCAAAGTGGTCAGTACGATAAAACGCTAATTTCATACGTAAGGACCCAATACTTACAGAATACGTATTAAGAACGTATGGATATAAATTATTTCTGCACTAGTGATCGGCGGGCACAAAATTATTTTTTAATAAACAGAGTCAACAGCATTTTGCTAGTTCTTATGTTGTAGAGGTCTCACGTTAAAACTTTCACATTTATAATAGCTTCATAAAAGCGGAAATTTAATAAAACATTTCTGGCTTTAACTTCTTGTAACTATTATTTATTCTGTGCTTTAACTTGGAATAATTTATATTTTAGTACCTCCGCTGGGATGCAAATTATTTTCGACTTTACATATAATTGGTGAAAAGATATTTTAAAATATTTATGGAGTTTTTTATGCAGTAACTATTTACTATCGAGTAAAATTATGTCGTCATTTTCATTTAAACTTTATAAATTATCATCACCGTGACCCAACGCCTAGTCAAGTTATTTAACTCTTGAGATTCTAGTAAAAAAAAACTAACTAGTGATTAAGTAAATGAGTTTCAATGACGTAAATAACGAATTAGTAATTTTGCAAATTACTCGAACACAAATTCGAAAAGTGATTTTATATGGTATTTAATCCGATAATTACCTACTTGTTATAATATACACAGCATTTATCGCTCTTAAGCTGATACACTATGTATTATACAAGAAAACAGGCAGGATAGACACACCATTTTATTTTATTAATATAAAAGTTTTTTTATAGGATAAGGGTGACAAACGATCATACAGTCCACCTGATGGTAAGTAGATGCTGTGGCCCTTAGACATCTACATTAAACCTCGATTAAGAATCAAAATGCACCCAAATTACACCCTGGAGGACTAAGATGGAATGCCTAGATTCCAGTAAAACGGGTCTCCGGTTCACTACACTCACCATACGAAACACTGCAGCATTAAGCTTATAATTATGGAATGTAGAGGTAAGGAGACCGATCTCTCATAGGAGAATAGTTGAAAAAGTGTCATCTGTAAGCAATAAATAACAGTTCAAAAACTCTCCACAACAGCGCTGGAGTAGCTACGAGAAACACCTACATGAAATAAACTTAGCAGTAGTCAACGGTGTGAAGTATGCTGCTAAACAGCTCATAGCTTAAAATAATTTAATTTAGTAAATATAACCTCGAAAAAGTCGTCTATCCCACTAATATTTTTCGACGCGTTCTTTAAAATTTACCCCGTAGCTATAGTGGCGCCACCCTTATTTAACGGTTTTCTACGGACACTTTTTAATACACAGTCTGTACTCCTTACCTCTACACTCCATACTTATAATGTACGATATCTTAAAGTTAACATAATATAATCATCATCATCATCACAGGTTCACTGTTGATAATATGCCGCCTCGTAGGAATGTCACAAAGCACTTGAGAACGTTTCCCATTGGTTATCAGTTCTTCGAACTATATCGCTAGTCTATTGCTACTTCCCTTTATTAATCCGTTATGCCGTCGGTTGCTTTGGTTCAGGGGATACACTCATTACAAAGTCATAACGCAGAAAAATTGACGAGGATAGCCTTCTCCAAAGTTCGCTTAGCGACCTTGAGCTTTCTTATACGGCCCGAAGTAAAATACCACGTCAATGTTTTACACTCTTGATTTCAAGTTTTAAATTATTCCTTTATTTATAATATATACGATACACATCGAAAAGTAAATTTAATTCTTTGGCGTTTTCTGAGAGGATTGCCAAGCGAGAAGAATTCATCACGGTCTTCTAGTGGGGTTAGGAGACTACGAGTGTTTTTAATGTTTTTTATTTTCATTACGTCGTTTAATCATTTACCTTCCTAACAGAAATTGATCGTTAAAATAGTAATTTGTAATATCAGCAGTGTCAACAGGAATAGAG